GAGTGGAATGTGGTTCCTGTGGACACAGAGGTGCAGACCTCCAGGATGGAGACAGAACTGTGTGGCATGAAGTATACTGTGCTGTGCCGTGAGGTGCACTGTGACTGTGCCATGCGGTGCCCAGCACTGTGCCATGTATGGTGCTGAGCCAAGTTAGACAGGTTTGAGGGGTGCCTTTATAGCTCTGCTGAAAGCAACACCTGATACACCTGCTGGTGATAACTCACTGTCCTGGTCTGAGCTAGGACAGAACTAATTCTGTTCACTTTTCTGCTCAGTCTCCTCTAACTAACTGCACTTTCTGAAGTTAACAGCAGATCTTCACAGGCAGTGTCTGCATCTAGCAGTGATAACTCTCCATGTTTAGAGTTACTACCTAGACCTGGGGGGTGCAGAAAGGCTCTTGCCAATACTTGCTCCTGTGCAGACCACAGTCACTCCTAAATCTTGTGTGCCACGTTGTGGTGCAGTAAGCAAGAGGTGGCACTTGCAGAGAAGAGTGGACAGGACAGGTGATCTTAAAACTGACCAATGAGGGATTCCATCCCATATATATTTCATATTCAGCATAAAGTGATCTCTTCAATGGCTGATGTCCAAGGAGGACTGTCCGTTCTGTCTACAATCCCAATTCATATGTTTCTGAACCAGTTCCAGAATCCTGCTCCTGAATCCAGTTCCTGGCTGCCACTGAGTCCAGTCTGAGGCTTCCCCAGTGCCTGCTCCCCAGCATCAATAGTGATGGGGACGTAATTCCATCAGGGGGTTGGGTTCAATATTGCATTTGTATAAAGTTGTGTCTATTTCATTTTATTGTTATTATTCTCATTAAAGCAGTTTTAGTTTTCTTTTCCAACACATAAGTCTCTCTTCCTTATTCCCTTTCTCTTCCACTTTGGGAAGCGAAAAGGGTTAACATGTCATTTGCCTAGTGGCCCACCCCTCCCTAACCTTTGATATCAGCCTCACCAACACTTCTCAGTACTCCCTTCTAACAGCTAAAAATCCCAAGTGACCAATTACTACCTTCCTGACAACAATTCTTTGTTTCCAAAGGCATGTTAACATCTGTCAGTTAAGCCAGGCACAAAGCAAGTTCCCTACAGTAAAACACATTTCAGGATGTAGTGTCTGCTGCTTTACTATAGATGAGAGAGGCAATACGAGTCAGGGAGAAAAGGTGGTGGTGTCTTGAGCAGCTTTACCTTCACGTTGACATCATCTGTGGACTGGAGCTGCAGCACGTGGCCGCTGACAACAACATCCAGCAGCAAGGCTCCCTCGGAATCCAGGCCCCGTGCAACGTGCGTCATCCGCAGGACCTCACCTGGGGGTTTGAGGAGCACGTTCACTTGTGAAGCATCCTAACCAGAGACTCACGTTACCCACACTATCTGAACAGGGACCTCTTGCCCTGTTATTTTATACTTGTACTTTTATAAAGCATACCGTGCCTACAATACAAAACGATGTTTCAAATTACAGCTCTAAAAGCTGTATCTAAAGTCTCACAAAGCCATAGTTGTTCATAAAATACTGGTGTAAGCACATGACTCAAAATTCAGCAGCAGTTAACTGCTGGATCTTAAGCCATGCAGTGTCTATCAAGCTTACTGCAAACACAAGGGATACGTCACAGGTAACTAACCAGTTGCAAACTCCACTTGAGTTTCTCTCTTGAAGACTGCATCAGTGAGTGTAAACCCATTCATTGCTTCTCCAATTTCTTTTGCAGTTGTCCAATAAACTGGGCTGAGTATAGAAACAAGCTTTCTCATCAGTGGACCTGGAAGAAATGCAATGTTAATGTCTGAGAGCTTTTTTTCTTCAACATCATGTGACCCACATCAGTAGGAGTTGAATATGAAGACCTAAAACTAGAGTAACCCTTAAGATTTAAAAAGTGTGTGTCAGTATATTCAGAGGAACCATTTTACAAATACTAATATACTAGAGGCAGATACTGAAGATCCCCTTTTCCTCTGTCTATGAAATGCTTAGATCATTTTCTTCAGTGAGACTTAATGAAATGCAGTGGTGAAAACTGACATTGCACAGAATTCGGTGTGGTTCAAGGTAAAAGGTGATAAAAAGTAATAAAAAGCCTACCAAGGCTCCGAGGGACATTTGTGACCTTTGCTTGTATTACTCTCGTTTCAGAGTCAGGGCTGCCTGTCACCGTGGCATTCAGGAAAGCAATTCCAAACTCCACACCGTTGATATCTCCAATGATGCTGCCTTTGGCTCGTGAAGGCCCACCTGTGCAGGGGACAGGGGGAGGGGGGGAGACAAGGCCCATGTGAGAACCCAGCTGTCTGATACTTTGGGGGAGAGAAAGTTCAGAAATCTTGTCCAGCATTTTAAGAAGTAAAGTTATTCCTGCATATATTGCTATATTATTGCAAAGTAAAGCTCACAACCTGCCAATAACAGTCTGAGATATAGGCACAGTAACATGAGAATCACCTGAGGCACTCACCCCCATCTGAAAAGCAGAAATTGTTTAAGGGCATCCTCTAGTGCTATGTAACATGTTAACAAAAAAAATGTATCCAGCTGACATTGCAGGGGAGATTTAAGGCCCAAAAATTACATTTCTTGGACAACTGGCCAAGACACGGGAGCGCAGCAGCCCACCTAGGAGTGCCCCGGGCTTGGAGCGTGGTGCCGCTGCGCGCAGGCCGGCAGCGAACTCACCGGGACAGGGCTGGGTGTTGCACCGGGATATCTGGGAGGAGTCCCCGGCACAGGGACGTCCCTGATGCAAGGGGGCTGGGCTGCTGCACAGCCGCAG